GGCCGGGCCGGGCCAGCGATCCCAGAGGCGCCCTGCCCTGGGGCGCTGAAAGGCGGTCCCCAGGATGCAGCAGGGAACCCCGGGCCGCGTCAGCCGTGTACGTCCTTGCCCTCTCCTGCTACCTCCCCCCAGCCTTGCCGGCAGGCGTCCAACGCTAGGAACACAGGATCCCAGGGAGAGCCGGAAGCTACCGGGCTTTGTAGCAGAAGCTGCAGGTCTCTGGGCGCCGCCGAGCCACTTGCCCTGGGTTGGGGCCGGAGCGGCAGGGCTTTTCCGAGAGGACGCATGTGAGCCGCACGGCATGTCCGGCCCGCTGCTCCGTGTCCCCCCATGCCAGCCTCATGGCAGCACTCGTGGGCGCACCCCACGCCGTCCTCCTTGTGTCCCAGGAAGCCACCTGTGTCCTCAGACCACAGCAGGCCTCTGCGGCGGGACTGGCTGCACGGGGACAGACCCCGAGTGTCACATTTAGAGTCTCAAAGGGGTTCCCAGCTCAGCGAGGACACTTGGGCGTGCCATCTGAAGTGTCCTTTCGGCTGCCGCGTTAGTCCCACTCCATACTCCCTCTCCCTGGACGCAGGACAACGTTGAAGCCGGACTTAGTGCTTGGTCACCTGAGGAATCTTTCCTCCTTGGTCCTTGTATTCCTTGACTTAACGTGGTGGACCCAGGGACTAAACACTCACAACACCTCCCAGGTTACAGGACCGCAATGACCCCAGGGAAGGGGGCAGGGGTAAGGGGAACATCCGGGAGGGAGAGGGGCAGCCCCTCTCTGCTCTAGCAGGTCGTTGGGAGGCAGGAGTAGAGGGCTGCCCGGGTCACAGCAGGTGTCCTTGGCTGCTGAGAGCGAGGGCCACCGACCCCACAGCACTTGCCCAGGGAGCAGTGGGTTTTCTCTCCCAGCAGAGGCAAGAACGCAAGAGACACCTTAAAGGCAGATCCGTTCCTGTTTCATCGCGTAACTGGACGTCTTTTTGAAATGTATCACTCGAGCCTACCACCACTGGAAAGCCACTTTTGTAAAGACTCCACTCTCCTCCACTGAACTCTTTTTCTTTTTTTGGTTTGTTTTTTAAGTAGGCCCTGGTTGCATTGAAGCCACTGAACAGTGGCCAAGCTATAGATTAAAGAGCCTTTAACATCGACAAGGCAGTTCAGGCACGGTGGCTCAAGCCTGTCATGCCAGCACTTTGGTAGGCTGAGGTGAGGGGATTGCCTGAGCCCACAGGTTCGAGAACAGCCTGGGCAACTTGATGAGACCTCTTCTTTACAATAAATCACAAAATTAGGTTGGTATGGTAGCACATGCCTGTAGTTCCAGCTACTTGGAAGGCTGAGGCGG